ATACATTTCATCTGAACATATCGCTAGCTATTTAAGAGTGAAAATTTGCTGCCAAGTGCACTTTCTAAAAAATTATTTTACGATGCAAGAAGCAAGAGCAATATTTATTTCTAACCGTTCCTGTTCAGTGTTACGCAAATTTGCTAAATCCAAAATTGTCACAGAAAATGTGTTAAGTCCCAAAGAATAAAAGCACTTTTCATTGAAAATCTATATCTAAGGTGACGAATTTAGAACTGGTTCAGAACTATCGAAAGAGGGTGCAGCGGGAGGCAATTGACACTTTGTAGGACAAAGCTATTTTAAGTTCGCCATTTGCTAGAGAATTAACGCGCATAACTAGATACATGGTTCTTAATTATCCAGGACCGAACCAGTTCGGCACTAGCGCGTTTCCCCACAGGGTGTGTATGGTACATACATATGTATGTATGTGTGTGCTTGTATGTTTGTATTTTGTTAGCTAAAGAACTTTTCAAATTGATTTCATTAATTTGTTCACACATCTCGTTGCCAGTTCCTTCCGTGTGTCGTAGTTTTCCGTATTTACTTGTGTGTGTAAGTGCGTAGAATGTGTGCTATATTTATCTGTACGCTGAAGTACATATAACTCAAACTTTCTCAAATGATACAATTTAATTCCTTTTTTGTGTTGCTTTAATTTTTTAAATGTACCTACATAAGTTTTAAGTGCGTACTCCAAATACAAATAAAATTTAAAATGGTGCTTTGTTGCCAAGCTGGAAAGTTCTGCAACTATTTAAAGAGGCGGCCACAAATAAATGTTGCGGTTGAAAACTTTTGACTTTGAACAAAAATCCATCATCTATGTAGAATCGAAAGTATCAAAGCCAACAGATTATGGCCGGTCTCGGTCAAAGGAACTATGAGTACTCCTCTTGTGACTGTGGCATTGGAATCCCTTCTAAGACAGTCAAGTTTCCTAGAAGTTCCCAAGTTGTGAGCTCTTCCTACTATTATCTCAATAGACCTTGGAAACGTGATGGTTTTTAGGCGGATGGTTTGCGCTATTGAAATGGGCCCAGAGAGGACAGAATATCAGCTTTATCCTGACGATGCCGAAATATCAGCTTTATCCTGCATCTTATTCAGGACAGTCCGGCCTTGCTAAAACGATATTTTGGCACGCAGCTTTTGTTTAGTTGAGCTGGCATCTTTTAGAAAGTCAGAAGGATAACTAGGAAATCATAAGTATGGAAATTTTACTATGTAGGGTGCGGATGAACTTTTAGATCACAGGATGCCTTCTTCGAAGAAGATAGACTTTAGGGCCAATACGCCTGGAGGCCGAAAAATGTGGTACGATAAACTGTATGAGCTTGCGGTAAGAACCAAATTATTTAGATTTTAGCGACTAGAATGTCGAGATAAAGTGAATACTTGAATGTGCAGACCCTATAGAGAAACCATATAAACACCCATGAAAAACTGAAGATATGTAATTAAAAGCCTTAAGCCTCTGTAGTAAGCAGCCTTATTTTACCCGTCCTCCACTAAAAAATCTCCTACCTAGTTCCTCGAACAATTTCTAGAACGAGATATATACCTTAGTTAAGTCTACTAATATCATTACACCACTACAACGATTAACTATTCTCCAGTTGTCTCCGCTTTCAGATCCTCGTAATTCTAATAGGGCGCTCGCATAAAAACTTCCCTTCACAATTTAATGAGCGGTAAATAATGACTCACTATGCACTCGCTCATACTAGGAAAAGTTTAAGTGCAGCCAATTTAGCGGCAATCGTGCGTAAACATGAATTTGATTGGCGTTTAGAAAAAGGAAATACAAAAATTATGCAAAAATATTAATTGATTTGGCAATAAGTGCTGATGCACTGACTTTTAAAGTCAGTAGTTTTGGGCGCTTAAGTTTTTGAAATGATGCTTTCACTCTGTGTGTGAGAAAATTGTAGGAGAAGTCTATTTTAGGCGCTCAACTTATTCTTTTGAATCATAATTTTTATTATGAGTGCAAGCCAAATAAGAAATTTCAAATTTCCAATTTAAGAAAATTTCCCATTTTCAAAAATTTTCTAAAATTGATAATTTTAATTTTTTTAATTTAAAAATTTTACTATATATTTAAAAAAATCTCACAACTTCTAATTTATCTGTTTAATACTCAAAATTTAAATTTGATCTTAATTTCAAAATTAAATAATTTTAAAACGAAAATAAACTAAATTTCTTTAAGAATTTGTTGATTAAAAAATTTCGTAAAATTTTGCAGAATTTAAAAAATAAAAAGCTTAAATCTAAAAATCTTTTAAATTTCAAAATTTAAAAATTTTCCAATAACTTATTTTAACTTTTGAGAATTAAAATTTTTGAAATATTAAAGTTAACTTTTTTTAGAAATTTTAAAAATTTTAATTTTTAAATAATTTCAATAAAAACCAATTCCGAAAAGATTTTGAGAATTAAAAAGTCTAAAACAAAAGACTTAATTCAGAAGTCTCCAAAAAAATTTTAAATTTTAAGGTCCTCGAAATTTTTCAAAATTAAAAAAAAAAATTATTTCGCAAAAGTAAGGGCAGTTTTCTCAAGCAGCTTTTAATATACATATATCTGCCAAACTCACACATTTTTTAAGAACAAAATTTGTGTTTAAGGGGGAGCTCAATTTTAATAGATATTTGAGAAAACTTTCTTAAATTAATCATTAATCATTTTGCGAACTACAGCCTATTATTTATTGGCTTAACTTGTTTATAAATGTTATTTATCAATCATTTATTTCTTTGCAATTTGTCAACTTGTTAATATGTAATTTCCTGATATATGTACATATATTGAACATCATTAAACTCTTTATAGCTGAGATACTTCAATTAGCTCTGCCTGCCACCACTCCTAACATACATTCATTCAATCATCCAGAAGCAATGTGACCTTAATACATAAATTCCAACACCTCAAGTGTCACCGCAAGAGCAATAATTAACATAGATTTCTATTTTATTGACATATTACACAACAACAACAAGGATAATAACAGGCACAATAACGCTAGAGCGGTAAATGAAAACATATGTTGTTGTTTGTTTGTATGTATTTAGGTAAGTAAGCCCCAAAGTACTTAAATAATGCCTAATACTCCGATATCAACAAGGACAACAATAACAACAACAACGAGAAGTCAACACCACCTGCCAAATACTCGTAGTAATACTCTGGCAGCCATTAAATTATGTTGACAAGGCTCGGCAGCTCGTTAAACGAAATTCCCAACACGCTCATCCGTCACCCCAGTCAGTCAGTCAGTCACTCAGTCGATCAGTTAGTTAGTCAACCAGCCATTTAGTTAGGCAGGCCCATGGATATACAGACAGACAATCGAAACGCTGCTGATAATGACAAATTAAATGGCATTTAATGCAAATGCGACAATGCCAATACATACAAATGTATGTGTGTGTGTGTGTGTGTGTTTGGGAAAGGAGCAAGGCGGCAGCGAAATGGGAAAGGATAGGCAGCCACAGTGAGCACACATGCACGGAGCATTCCAAAAGGATAAGCAGGCATACGCTAAAATATGAATGAAGTTGTATTATGCTGAGGTATGTTTGTATGTATATATGTATGTATGTGTGTGTTGGTGCAAATGCGAATGCATGGAGGCGCACAAGCGGCAGGCGTATTCTAGGCGTTCTGGTTAGCTCAAACGGGCAGGTGCGGCGAAATGTGCAAATTCTAGTACATACATACATACATATTTATATTAAATCGACTAGTAAGAAAATTGAATGCATACATAATTTTCGAATAGGGTTGCCAACTAGAAAACACATATGCACATTATCTACATAATTAAATTAAAATCGCAGTAACAGTGTTATCAATTAATTAAACTTAGTCGAAAAATTATTTTTAAAAAATACTTATATATTTTTAAAAGGGTTGCCGCCTGTCTAAAAATTAAAATTTTTGAAATAAATTGATTTAAAAAGGCATTTTAAAGTACGGATATCAACGAATTATATGTTAGAACTAAACAAATTTTAAGAGAAAAATTTAATAGAGTTGCCATATTCGAAAAAAAATTAATTATTTGTTTATGAAATTGAAACAAAGTTCTAAGTTATGGGTATCAAACGACAGGTGCCGTTCAATTTACTCATTTAGGTGTATTTTTGAACAGGGTTGCCACCTGAATATGAAGTTGAAACAATCATGCTGAAATTGAAAATTGTACAAACCCCAACACTGAAATCTAAAAAAAAATAATAGAGTTGCCATATACGAAAATCTATAAATAATGCACAACTAAGAAAACGACTTCATCACAGAATTTAAAATAAATAATGATAAAATAAGGTTTATAGGGTTCTAAAATTGAATGAGAACCTCCGCAGATCTTGGGCTTTTGTTTTGAAAAATTTTTAATTTTAAGTTTTGTGAAAAAATTCTATACATTTGAAGTTATCATCAGCGCGAAAAAGTTTTCAAAAAAAGTTTTAGAAAAGAATTATCGTTCAGAAGTGCTTTCAAGAACTTTTTTAAACACTTTTGAAATTATTCGAAAAAGGACAATTTTCAAGGTTAACTAAAATTAAATGTAAAAAAAAAAACATTTTCTAGTCCCCTTGTTTTTGGAAGAAATATATTAACATTATTGTTTGTGTACCGTTACGTCGGGGCGTTAAAAGGTTTTTACTTAAGTTGAATGAACAGGTCAGCTAGAGGCCAGCATCAGCACAACTAACCCAAATGAACTAAGCTCAACGGAAATGCAACACGACCAACTAGAAATCCAATTAAATATTTAATTGGTAGCCGAAATGGGCCGCCACACAGCAGGCAAGACGTGGCCGAGGACATCTAATGTTAGCTGATGGAGTATATAAAACCATACTAACGGCACTTTCAGTTTCTCACTGCACCGGCAAGAATACTTGTAGTATATAAAATACACCACCGCACATTCCCTTATAAATATTTAATAAAAATGTAGCAAATTGATTGTATCGACTCACCACTTGCGTCCTGTTGTTGACCTGCTTGTTGCTGCTGATGATGTTGTTGTTGTTGTTGGTGATGTTGATGCTGTGCTTGCTGATGATGTAGATTGGGCGCACAGAAAGCGCTCGAGCCACCACCCGCTGTCATTGAGAGCGAGGAATGTGGCGGTGGCAGCAGGCCACTAGGCGCCTGTGATTGAGGCGGCCCAGTTAGCGGCGCATAGACGCTGGAACGATAGGTTGGCGGCGGTGATACAACTTCACAGCGTCCCGCACCCACTACGCTCGATGTGGGCGGCGGTGGTGGCGGCGGCCCATAGTGTGGCGGTGCTTGATAGTGATGCGGCGGCGGTGGCGGTGGGCCTGCGGCTGTGTGTGGGGACGGCAGTCCGCCATGTATGCCGTGTTCACTGCCCATTGGGGGATATTGATGCGCGTGTGCGTGCGCATACTGATGTTGATGGTGTACGTGCATGCCGGCGGCAGCGACCGCGGCGGCGGCTGGCGACATGTGATGTGCATGGTAGGCGGCAGCAGCGGCTGCGGCCGCGGCAGCGTATGAGGGTGGCGGCGGACCATGTTCCGGTGCGCCATGTTCCGGATGCAGACCCAAGTCGTTGGCGTGGTAGATGCTAGCAGCGCTGAGCGCGTCCGGCAGGGCGGTGCTGACTGCAGTGGGCGGTGGCAGTGGTGGGGGTGAGCCTTGCGCTGGAAAGGGTTACATTTAATTAGTAATTTGTATATAGAAGAACAAAGAAATGCGCCATAACTTACCTTCGCCCATTCCTCCACTTGCGCCTGATGATGCGCCCGGCGGCAGCATGCTCGAGAGCGCGCTCAATGGCGTATAGGACTTTGGTGGGTCCACTGAACTGGGACGCAGCACTCGTTCCTCGGTGACGCTCGATTGTACGCGATATTGCATCTTGCAGTAGGCCTCCTGACTTGAGCCAGTTGTAGAGTTGACGTATACACCCGTTATGGTGACGTCTGTGTCCTGAACAATGACAACACTCGACGAGGTCGGCCGACTGGAGTCCTTTGCGTCCTTTGTGCTACCCGAGTCACGAAAACCAGCCGTAGTTGTTGTGTCTGTGTTGGTCTCTTTGGTTTCCTTCGAGTACTTTGAGTCGTTGCTCTCCTCGTTTATATTCAGCGGTCGCGACTCCCTAGCTGTACCGCTTGCAGTAGACGCATTCGAACTATTGGCTGTAGCTGTGGTATTTGTTGTGGCTTCAACGGTCTCTTTTGTGACTGATGGCCCTTCGGTTACTGTCATGGCTGCAGCTGCTTTCTTGGTCTCTTTCGCCACATCCTTGGATTTCTTGGCTGGTGTGGATGTTTTCTCTTCGCCATCGGAGCTCTCATAGCTGCCGTAAGCCAAATTCTTGTCCAGGTGACGCTCAACCTCATATGTGGCAGCTACTATAGCGCTGGCATTCAGGCTAGCCATGCGTTTGCGTGCCAAGATGCCCTTATAATCGCCGATTAGTTCCTCACGCAGCATACGCTTGCGCTTCTTTGGCGGCTTGCGTGCCTCCAACTTGGCTTTGTGTGCTTTCGACTTTTCCTTCTCTTGAGTTTTGTCTTCTTTATCGCTTGCCTCTGAGTTTTCGCCACCATCAGAGCTTTCAGTTTTTAATTTAACTAACTTTTTGAGTGGCTTCTTAATCTTCGTGTACTTGCGTTTTACTTTGATAGGGACTTTTTCTTTCGCGCCGTCTTTGGCTTCTTTTGCCTTGCCAGTCTTGCTACCCGATGCCTCGTCGTCTTTCTTTTCTCTTTCCTTTTCCTTCTCTCTCAGCTTTTCTGCTTCTTTTTCTTTTTTGTTTGCCAACTTTTTCTGTAGCTTCTTACGCTTAAGCTTCATCTTGTCGATTTCCTCGTCCTCACTGTCGCCGCTCTCCTCGAACTCCCAATGCTTACCCAGCCCACGTCCGCCTGGCACATGGCGCAGTTCGCGCTTCGGTTCCACCTCCGGTGGTTCGTCTTCGGACTCTGCTTTTTGCAACTCCTCCACCTTTGCAGCGTCTTCTGTTTTCTTCTCTTTCGTCGCTTTAACTTTTTCATCGATTTCCTTTTCCTTGTCCTTCTCCTCGTCACTGCCATCAACAGTACGAATTTTCGGCGGCAACTGAGTCGCCTTGGACAGGCCCAACTCGTAGGCCGTGCGCGATTCGTTCTCGTAGAGACACTGCACTTTGGCTAGCGCGTTCAATGATGCCATGCGGTGTCGTTTGGGGCCAAAATCAATCAACTTTTTCTCATCTTCGGAATCACTGCTGGCACTTGAAGATTCCCTTTGCACCTTTTTGGTGGTTTTGGCTTTCGGTTTAGTTGCCTTCTGCAATAATTTCCCTTTGACTACTTTAAGCACTTTCTTCGTAATTAATGGTTTCTTCTTGTAAACTTTTCGCGTCACTTTCGGCTTGGAGATCTTCTTTGCTTTAGCCGCAGACTTTGGGTTCAGCTCTGTATCCTTCTTAGTTTCGCCTTCTACAACATCTTTATTTTCAACGTCCTCATCCTTTTCTTCAACGTCCGCGCATTCCAAGTTCTTTTTAGGCCCTTCCATTGGCTTTTTGATTGGTATATCTTTTTCTTCAAGCATTTCCGAGCTCTTTTCTTCCTTTTCATCTGCGACGACACACGTCTGCTTGCTCTTTAAAGCTTCCTTGGCCGACTTCGCTTTATTTTCTTCATCAGCAAACTCGCGTAGGTTTTTCAACGTGGGCAACACCATTTTAATGTTATCTTCTTCCTCAGAACCTGATCTAAAGTCATATATGTCTTTTGATGCTGTTTTGGCAACCTTGTCGCTCACCAGCTTTTGTGCAAATTTAGATTTTTTGCCAACTATTTTAGCTGCGCTGGCCTTGATTGGCGCCACCTTGTATTTGCTTTGTAATCGCTGCTTAATATTCGAAGTTTGCCTCTTCTCAACCAGTTGTGAGGCTGTGGCCGAGGTCGTGGCATTCTCTGTCGCTTCTTCTTGCTTTAACGACTGCGGTTTCGCATCAGCATCCACCTTTGGCTGCACCTCATTCGTCTTCTCCATTTTGAGCTCCACTTCTTTTGGAGCTTTTGCACATACCGGCATTTCTTCTAGATCCATTTGCACTACCTCTGTATTGGCATCTAATACTATTCTTAATGTCTCTTCCATTTCCAAAAGTTCTGGCTGTTCATCAGCCGCCTTCTCAGGTTCCTGGATATTGCACTTGTCTGTGTTCTTTGGGTTCATCTTGACTTTCTTCGGCGATGGCGTCTTTTTAGGCGTCTTTGCAGCCTTCTCTTCTTGGACACCCTTGTCCGGTGGCTCGGGTGGTTCCACTGCTTTGCACTGTGTGTCTGACTTATCTCCAGTTGGCGTGATTGCTTCTTCTTTATTCTTCTCTTCGTCATCTTTCTTTATAAGTTTTGATTTGAGTAGCCGTTTCTTTAATGGTGTGCCTACTTCGGCGGCATTTGTGGGCTTTGTAGCCGCCGTTTGCATTTTAGAACTATCATCCTTCGATTTTTGTCCTGCGGCTTTTTTATTCTTCTGATTGGCTTCGGCTTTATTGGCACGCTTGGCCGTTACCTTCTTCTTGGGCGCCATTTTGGCTAAAGCATTTGTAGTCGTATCACTGAGAGGCTCTTGAGATTCGTTACGTTTCGAAGCCTCAAACTCACTGCAAGAGTTCGTCGGAGATTCTTTTGATTTTTGGGTTTCTTCTTGTGAGTCTCGAGATTCTTTTGTTGGTGCGCTTGTCTCCTCTTTAGAATGCGATGAAGTTTCAAGCTCTTTATCTGTTTCCTTGTACGGAGGATTATCCTTTTCTGGCTCCTTTTCCTTATCTTTTTCTATCTCTTTATCCTTTACTTTCTCCTTTTCCTTTTCCTCACTCTTCTCTTTTTCTTTTTCTTTCTCCTTTTCCCTTTCGTTACTTTTCTCTTTTTCTTTCTCCTTTTCTCTTTCGTTACTCTTCTCCTTTTCCTTTTCTTTCTCCCTTCTCTCGTCTTCCTGTCGCGCTTTAATACGCGCTATATTCGACTTTGGCGGATTCAAACTCGCTATCACCTTGACCGCAGCTGCGCGTGACTTTGTTTTCACATTCTCCGAAATAGAGGACTTGAGCGTATCTTGAATGCGTTCTTCGCTTGGCAGTATATTATCGAAACCGGTTATTTGTATATCGAGACTTTTAAGCATCTTACTTATAGCTTTGGTCTTGCCATCTTTGCGTTCCTCGGCTTTCTGCTTACTGCCACCGACGGAAGATGAGGCGGAAGTGCTCGTAGGCGGTTCTGAATCCGCCTTGTGCTTCTCCAATTCAATTTTCTTGTAGGAGCTGCCGGAAGACTTTTCTTTCGTCTCGGAAGCGTTCGATTTTTTCACATTCTCCCGTGAGGGTGTGCGTTTTGTTGGTTTACGGTTAGTCGCGGGCGCGGGCGCGGGAGTCGACTCGTTGACCGAATCCGTGAAATGTTCACTTTGATCTTTGGGCTTTGATACTAAACTCGAACACTCGTCGATGTTTTTCGGGATCTCAACGTCTTCCGCTACAACGGTTTGTTTTGCGACTACCTTTTCCAACTCTTTACCTTCCACTTGCTCCAACTTTTCTTCCTTCCCTTTCACTTTATCCTTTTCCTTCTCACGTTCCTTGTTAACCGCTGTTTGCTGCTTCTTAGCTGGTGAAGGCGTGCGACCAGCTGTACAACGTTTCACAGTTGTCACATTACTAGCAGCAGCCGGTTTGCGACCCGCTGGGGAACTGTGTGCTTTGCCCGCAGTGGGACGTTGTTTCTTTATCGCTGCAGCTGTGTTGTTCGACGAACGTGGCTGACGCTCAGTGGAAGTGACACCAGCGGCGGCAGCGGCAGCTGCAGTGATGAGACGCTTCTTAGGTCCCATTCCCCTGAAACGGAAAGAGAAAAGTAGTTATTAGTAAAGTGCTTAAAATAACTAAATCGGAGGGAAATGAATAGGAGACAAATCCTAAGTGTGCTGACAATTAAACTTTATTCAGTTCTCGTCATAGTTTTTCGGTGTCCTTAAGCGCTGTCAATGGACTAACAGGTTAAGCGTTCACACGTGCCAAACAGCAAGCGAAAGCGTAGAAGACAACGGAAATCGCAAGAGAAGAACAACAAGACGCTGCTCTTGAACTGACACTCGAGTGAGGTTTAGCAATTTGTGAGCATTTTTTTCCCCACACACTCGACGCTTGGTCTACTGTAAGCTCTTTCCTGCGTCCGCTCAACTGCGCACTTCCTTCCCTGCCCATCCAACCAACCGTCCATCTATCCAACCGTCTATCTGTGCCTAATCGCCTCAACGACACATGTCAGCCAGTAATTGTCTCCTCAACACCCATTCAGAGTTGAGCTGTTCATGCGCTTCACCTCGCCAGTGGCACTGATTCGTTAACCTAACGAATGCTTAGTGAATTAAGTCCCTACATTCGACAACAAGAACAACAAAGTCGATAACAATAAAAATAAAATGACGAACGTTGCAAAGGATTGTCAGGCAAATGTCTGAAAATAAGCAGATTGTAAATGCTTGCCATGAAACTATTCGTACAACAACGGCGAAACTGGCACAGCCTGGTAGCAAATTGAGGGAAAAAAAGGACGAAAAAACGCAGAGAAAAAGTGACGGCAGCAAATCAACATATGTCAATACTTCAACGCGGTCCTACATGTGAGTAGTTCTACAAATGCAACGCTGCATGCAAAATAGACGAAGCGTTGGCGTGCAGGCCGTGCGGATAATGAATGTTGAGTAGCGTAAAAAATGGCATAAAAAATGCAAAAGTGGAACAACAAACATACTTATGAGTAGGTACGTTAGGACGAGTTATTACTGCAATGGTGGCAGTGTGTGGAAGATGGCTAGTACGAGTACTTATCAGCGTTTCTGGTTGGCACATACAAGCTGTAAGCGTCAGTAACACTCCACCAAGTTGCATTTGGCTGTCGGATAGGATGAGCATGAGCTCTGGCGGTTCGTGGCTTACCGTTTCAGTCCATAAACTGTCAACCGAGTAACCACAAGTGACATGTGAGTGTGCCACATAAGCAAGCTAACGCGGCGTGAACAGACTCGCATAGCTTACTTCGCACATTCCCCACATCTTGTCGGCTGTCAGCGTTCGCCCGCTGATGCTGCTGGTATCGCTGATATCGCAGTACTGTCGACTGTTGGTGACATGTTTCGCGCACTTAATCCGCACTTGTTAGACGGATTTGGAACTTGCCGGCTATGTATCGCCACCGAGCTCGTGCCTGCTGCTGTTAATATAAGTACTCTTTCACCCACATTCGTATATTTTTTTCTGAGCTTGGTCTCGGCGCTATTGTTTTTGCGCGCGCCAGCGTCCTCTGTAATTTTTTCCGTTTTGCTGTGTGTTGGGTGTCGAGTATTTGAAAGAAAACACCACTCCAAGCGCCTTGCAACACGATGCGCTCCCGCAGCACAACTTCGCAGCTAAGCACAGTGCTGGCTCGCCTGTCGCGCGGAGACAATGTCTGCTTTATGAGCTCACAATGGGAACATACGAGTACTTGTGGCAAGTGTGCATATGGAACATGTAGTGCTTCCAACTTTTTGGCTTTTATGTAGTTTAGCGTGTTTGTGTGCCGACAAGTCAGTTAGGAGTTTTCGCTGCACAAAATCCTGAATTAGTTACATGGATTTTGAAGAATTCGCGCTGAGCTCGCGTTGTTAATTGAAAGGCTTTGTAAATATTTGCATGGGCGCATTGTGCGCTAAGCAAAGTAATTTATGTAGTTGCTTTGAAGGAAAGAATTCATAATAGGCAAGGAATGAGGTTAATGGTGAGCAAAATTCTTTTGGGTATAACATTTGCTTGCGTTTATGGCTTGAGTTGTGGTCTGTCGACTGAAGGAATTATATAACCATTTTCGTTGTTGTGGAATTATATAACCATAGCGAAGGAACAAAAGCTTCAGACATATCACGAAGAAAAATTTCGGAGAAATGTATACTTTCACTAGTAAAGTAACGGATTGAAACCGTATATCTGCAAAATTCGCTACGGAGAGCTTACAGAGCACCAGACCTCATGCGGGAATACTAACTAAAAGCTGACCTACTAGCTAGACTAGGTGGTATGACAAAGTCTGCATCAAATGTAGATGCTGAGTGGACATAGAATCTATTTTAAATTGGAGACGACGAGACGAGAGACGAGATCTGTATAGTCTAAGCACTTTGAAGGCTCAGTTCGGCATCGTCAAAAGCTCGGAGACATGCACAAATACGAATTGCTATTTATTTCACACCCGATAGCTCTTATCACCAAGTTTACTGATCCCTGAAAGTCTAGCAAAGCCCGACACTCTCTTTGCCTTTTGTTGTTCAACGTTTGGTGTGGGTTTGCATCACGGATGCTATGCGCACATGCCAAACGGGGGCGCTGGTGGTAATTCTTCAGATCGAGCCATTGCATCTCACAGTTGAAATTTCGCAAGAGAGCGCTTTGGCAAAGGCTAGGTCCAAACATCCAGAAAGTTACATTTGTCAGCATGAAAATCAGCCTTGTCCTAAAAGGTTTTCAAACATATATGTATGCAGATCTCTATTGGCATCGTAGTCCGACGTATTTTCTATTTCTTATGCATAGAGAGCATGCTATCGTGTTTCATTCTGATTAAATCCCTCTTAAAGTAAGACGACTACTCTCTGTTGCCGCTCTTAGTTGGAGAGACTTTTTGCTCATTCGCAGCAAGCCTATGGGAAAATGCCAGATTCATCCCGCCGAGCCGCAGCTGCCTGATATCCGATAGTCTGAGCATAATCAGGCATTTGTGCAAAGCTTTATGACGGTGTATTCGGCACCAATGCTTTTGGGATTCTTTGTAAACGATGCAGAGTATACAAAATTCGGTACTACTTATTGAGTATGAGTACACGCACTACCGTTGTTAGATTTTCCGTGTAAATAGAACATGCCACGACTTGTCGCATATTCGGAATAAAAATTTGAATACGAATAAAACCAGTAGAAATAGTTTTGCTCAACAGTCTCGCTTCACAAAATAATTAACATTAAAATCCACTACTTTTTCGCATTGCTACTTTATTATTTAAGCACTCGTATGCACATGCATTCAAAGACATAAATGCAAAATTAAAACCAGAATCAGAAGCAGAAGCAGAAACAGCAAAAAATGGGTCGTTAACAATTCAAAAAGACATTTCGCGCCCTTTTTCACGCGAAAAATACAAGAGCACACAACCATACATACATACAAATACACATGCAACCCTACATTTGTACCTGCACATTGCACATGACCGTACGGAAGAGGAAATGCATGTGCGCGAAACTTGCAGGGCACACAACTACAACAGCAACAAGTGCATGTTCGGGGCGAAAACTCAATGACTGTTTGTGCGAAAAACAGCAAATAACGCCTGTAAGTATGCAATGAAAAGCTGTACGCGCGTTGTTGCGTGCTAAAAAAAAGTGTGCGGCATGCGGCAAGAGGAGTTGAAGGCGGACATATGGCTGCTGGCTGGTTGCCCGCAGCAACGCATAACCGAACGAAGCGCGAAAAAGCCAACGCCATGTAAACAAAAAATACAAAAACAAAAAAAACGGAGAAGAAAAAATAAATAAAACAGAGCAACAATGCCTGCGTCCGCAGCAAACAACAATAACAACAACAGCAGCAGCCACAGTGCGTGTGGAATTCAGTAGGTGCATAAAATATACATATACATATTTGTAGCTGGTGTAAGTGGCAACATGAATGCGCCACACTTTTGTGTTCGTCTGTGTGTATTTGTTTGTTTGTTTGTTTGTTCTTTGTTTGCTAGGCTATTTGCTTGTTGGTGGCATGCAAATAAAGGCAACAATACAGCAGCCAGCAAATGATGCAAGCGTATGAGTGCGCAGGGGCGTGCGTGTGTGTGTGACATGTAAGCAGTGCAGTGAGTAAGTATGATACGTGTACTTTGCGTGCTTGTTCTTGTGCCTTGGCCTGTGTGCGTGTGCGTGCATCCGCCAACGCTTCCGCTTTGCAACAGCACAGCGATCTCCGGTTTGTAACTGGCGGAGTCGGGGCACTATGCATGCCGCAGTGCACACTAGCCATCATCTACATAGATAGCTATGGAATTATGGCAGCCGGAGCACTTGCTACCTGCTTTTTTCACTTTCAACTGCAACAACAACAAAGACAATTATAGCAAACAAATACATAACTCACTGACTGTTTGGCCATTTATGCTGCCACCTCCTTCATCCTTCAGCACCACATACACACACACACACACACACACACACACACACACACACACACACACACATCCAACGGATGTTCCATGTCAGCCATCGCATAATGTCACCGGAAATCCACACTCACTTACGCTCACCTCGCAAGCGTTGCGCTGGTAGTTATTGTGTGTTTGTTTGTTTGTTTGTAAGCGCCCCGAGCGACGGCAAAGAAGGATTTAAGTCTCTGCGCGACGACACACGTCATATGTTGCGCTGACAGCCGAAAACAACAGCAACAAACCGGCGCTATGTCCCACTATATTCGCAATTCCTGTCATGAATTATGGTTACTACGGCACACTCGAGCGCCAGTCGTCAGCTACAATTGCACGTCAACGGCCCGTAGAGACGCTTTGTAAGGGGGCGGCTGACAAAGGGTTAAGTGCTTGGGGAGTAAAGAAAGTGGTAGAGAAACAAGTCGCTTATGGCGCGTAGACAGGAAGTAGTGTAGTATAGTCAGCGCTTCGTAATGCTCCTTCCGTCCGTCTGCTCCCTTATTCAACCCATTTTGCTACTTTCTCCATGGCGCTTACATTTTACGCTTTGCACTTTTCTTGTAAATAATTTCACCTGACAACGGATGTGACACAGGTGTTGATAGTTACGCT